CACCTCCCCCAATACTGACACCCCCAGCCTCCCAAATCCCTCCCCATCACTGACACCTACCACCCCACACCACAGACCCCTCCGGCGCAGTGGAGAACAATCGATCCCCGTCGGCCCTAAGAGTTGGGGGACAGTTTGCACCCCACCCCCATTTCTCCTGGGCCAGGCCAGTCCTTGGCTCGTTCCTGTTGCCCCCATCTGGCCTCTCCCCACATGGACTCCCCACCCCACACAGCGCGGTCTAAGAACCAGACCCAGCGCTGAGCAGAGCAAAACCTCACCCCCACGAACACCCCGCGATCCATTCCCACCTTCTTCCTGACCCCATTACTCAAACCCACCCCCAGCACGCCGGGTAGTGGGTGCAGATCCCGACGATGTTGGTGCAGAGGAAGATCAGGATGTTGGCGCTAAGCTGGGATTGAGGGAGGAGTCAGGCCCGACACCCCAGCCCAGACAAACACCCGTTCCAAACTCCTCCCCCATCACCAGCACCCCCAAACCACCAGCATCCCCAAACTATCCCCATGCCTCCTAAACCATTCCTGTCACCCACAAACCACCCCCCTCTGGCCCCATCACCTCCTGCAAACATAAGACATCACCGAACCCAGCCATCAGCTGTGGAGGGCAGGCTGGCAAGGAAAGGGGGCAGGTTCAGGTGTGATCCCCAGAGATCTGGGGCTGGAGCACTGGGGTTCAGCCCCACACGGGGAGGCAAGATGAGGGAGAGGGCTCCCTTACAATCCCCTATTCTGAGCATTAGAGCCAGTGCCTCCCCTCTTCCCCTTGCTGCAAACTTCCCTGCAGCAGTGCCCTGGGCTTGAGGCAGGGTCTCCGCTGCCTTTTCCCACCTCCCCAAAACAGGCGCTCACCCCTGCAACTCACCATTGAGATAGGTCCTGCGGCCCACCCCCCAGGCAGGGCACGGCCCCAGCCAGCAACTTCCCTGCAGCAGTGCCCTGGGCTTGAGGCAGGGTCTCCGCTGCCTTTTCCCACCTCCCCAAAACAGGCGCTCACCCCTGCAACTCACCATTGAGATAGGTCCTGCGGCCCACCCCCCAGGCAGGGCACGGCCCAATCCAGCAGCTCTACTCTTTCTGCGGGGGGGGGCG